TACATTTTTTTGCTTTGTTTCTATGTCTGTAGCTGGCTACAATACTTGTCTACAACTGTAAATCTCTGGTGTGCTATGATTATTAGGAGCTACCTTGGATAACATAAGCAGCTATTGAAGCTGCCCATTCTGTAGCCAGCTTCAAATGCTTGAAAATTAATGCTTGGAAACAAAACAACATAAAGCTAAGATGAAGATCTCCCTTTGACTGCAGTTTAAATTTGTGGTCTGTCACTGTGGCCATGATTGTCAATACAGTAGTTATCATATTGGACATTTATAGAGTAAAATGATCGGATATGGTTATTTTAGCCATACTAATGCACTTGTAAAAAAAAAAAACTGTTGAGCACACTGTACTTTTATGATTAACACTAACTGATAGCTTTTTTTATTAAAATTTTTTTTAGAAAAATGTTTAAAGACATAACAAAATAAACCGGAAGAGAACACATTTTCATCAGTACTGAAACAATATACCTTTGGCACAGTGTAGACAGAAAACATAAGGTCTTGTAGTCACAACAATATGGACTAGTTCCCACCATCAAGAATAATAAACAAAACCATAAACAAAACAACAGAATGGATGTTGCCAGGTAACCATGTAGCAAGTTGTAGAAACATACCGTATCAAGTGTCTACCTCCAGTGCACCCAAAGAATTCTAAAGACTAGCTTCCAGACAGTGGCGTAACCAGAGTTATTGGCGCCCGGGGCAGAATTTTTTTCCCCGCCCCCCCCCATATTATATAAACATCCACTGGAACTGTACCCCACACATATATATCAGCTAAGGAACTACTTGTTCAAGCATGCCATCATTGTCCCTGTACACCCCCCCACACACACACATATCACCCAGGGAACGGCAATATCTGGTTGTTGTACAGGGGCAATGAGGGCATGCTGGGACATGTAGTTCCCTAGCTGATATGTTATGAAGCTATGCGATCCGGGCTGGCTGGATCAGGCAGAAGCGCCCTCTAATCAGGCGCTGTAGACGGCGGGAGGAGGAGCGAGCGGCCGCCCGATGACAGAGCCAGGTGCATGTGGCAGAGAGAGGGAGCCACTGCATCTGCGGCCAGGGGCTTCGTTTAGCGGGGGTCGGTGATGGCGCCCCCCCTCAGTCCTGCGCCTCCCGCCCCCCGGTTGTTACGCCACTGCTTCCAGATACCACGTTGTAAATTTAAATGGGTTCATTACTGGGAAATTTCTCCCCTTTAAAGGATTCTACATATAAAAACCAGCTATCTTTTAAAAAATCGTTTAGTATGGGTATCCTTTTGTAATTCTAAATCCAATTGTTCTCTCAAGAAAAGCATCTTTAAGTAATTCCCCACAGCAGAGAGCTGTGGAGGGATAGGTTATTCCACATCTGCATTACCCAATCACCTCCATGGCCACAGGTGTATAAAATCAAGCACCTATGCATGCAGACTGCTTCTACAAACATTTGTGAAAGAATGGGTCGCTCTCAGGAGCTCAGTGGATTCAAGCGTGGTACCGTGATAAGTTGCCATCTGTGCAATAAGTCCATCTGTGAAATTTCCTTGCTACTAAATATTCCACGGTCAACTGTTAGTGGTATTATAACAAAGTGGAAGCAACTGGGAACAACAGCAACTCAGCCATGAAGTGGTAGGCCACGTAAAATAACATGACTGCATAAAAAAATCTAATTTATTATCACTGCTTAGAAGACAAACAGATATTAAACATAGATAAACATACAATGTTCCACAATTGGATTATGCTTATAATGTATCATCTCTATGGGGTCTATTCACAAAGCTGCCGAAGCATCTGGCCGTAGCTTCGGCCGATCCTTCGGCTAGCTTCGGCCCCAGGACCCCTTCGGTTCAGTAGAACCGAAGGGGTGTTGTACGGGCTATTCACAATAGCCCGTACAGCTCCCGATCATGGCCGAGCGGCTCAGCCGAGCCGAACGCATATGCATCGGCTCGGCTGAGCCGTGCTGAAAGCCGAAGCTGGCCGAGCGGCCAGCCTGCTTCTGACAGCTGGGCGGAGCCAGCCGTGATCTTACGGCTGGCTCCGGCCACTTGCAGTGAGATCAGCGTCCCTGGTTACCTGCTAA